AGTCTCCTGCCTCAGCCTCCCAAGTAGCTGGGACCACAGGCGCCTGCCACAACGCCTGGCTATTTTTTGGTTGTAGCCATTATTGTTGTTTGGTGGGCCCGAGCTGGATTTGAACCTGCCACCTTGGGTGTATGTGGCTGGCGCCTTAGCCACTTGAGCCACAGGCGCTGAGCCAAAAACTGTCTTGTAATAATGATTTCTTCCCTTGACAGACAAGACATCAACGAGGAGATACACATCCACTAACTTTAGAAGAAATTTTGGATGAAACACAACATTTAGATATTGGGCTCAAGCAAAAACAGTGGCTGATGACCGAGGTAAGATAGGTTTAAAATATTATTAAAAAATTAGTTGGTTACCAAGAGCTATTTGCTATAACTAGAATATTTTTAATGTATTGGAACCTGATGATTCTTTTTCTTAAAAAGCAGTGGTATAGAGTCTTTGTTTTTTAAGTATACATATTTGTAAGACTGAGTTGTTGGTTTTCACATAATTTTATTTGTCTTTTTTAAAAATTATTATTTTTAGAGACAGAATCATGCTCTGTAGCCCTTGGTAGAGTGCAGTGGCATCACATCTCACAGCAACCTCAAACTCTTAAGGGATTAAGGGATTCTCTTGCCTCAGCCTCCCAAGTAGCTGGGACTACAGGTGCCCACCACAGTGCCAGGCTACTTTTGTTGTTGTAGTTGTCATTGTTGTTTGGCAGGACTGGGCCGGGTTCAAACCCACCAGCCCTGGTGCTTGTGTCCGCACCCTAGCCGCTGAGCCACAGGTGCTGAGCCTATTTATTTTAAAATGTTAAAGTTAAGGCTTTAGAATAAAAGTCAAAATAAAAAGAAATGTACCAGTTCCACTTAATGTTTTTACAGAATGCTTGATGCTTATTTTAAATTGCTAAAATTATAATTTATGTTTGTTGTTTTTGTTTTAGGAAATTTAAAGCCCAAGGTACTATATAGGGGTAGCGAGATATTTTGTTACATTGTTACTACTATTATGGCCTGATAGGGAAAAGTAATCAAGAACACTGTATAAAAACACACAATTTGAGGAAACTCTAGCACAATCCATGACAATGCCTATTTATTTATTTATTTTTGAGATAGAGTCTCAAGCTGTCGCCCTGGGTAGAGTGCTGTGGTGTCATAGCTCACAGCAACCTCCAACTCTCGGGCTTAAGCGATTCTCTTGCCTCAGCCTCCCAAGTAGCTGGGACTACAGGTGCCCACCACCAATGCCTGGCTATTTTTTTTGTTGTTGGAGTTGTCATTGTTGTTTTAGCTGGTCTGGGCTGGGTTTGAACCCTCTAGCCTCGGTGTGTGTAGCCAGCACCCTACCCACTGAGCTACGGTTGCTGCCCAATGCTAATTTATTTTAAGCCACTAAATTTGTGGTAATTTTTTTTTGGGGGAGGGGAGGAAGGAACAGTCTCAGTTTGTCACCATTGGTAGAATGCCAGGGCATCATAGCTTACAAAAACCTCAAACTCTTGGGCTCAAGTGACCCTCTTGCCTCAGCCTCCTGAGTAGCTGGGACTACAGGTGCTTTTTACAACATCCAGCTATTTTTACAGACAGGGTCTCACTCTTGCACAGGCTGGTCTTTGAACTCCTGAGCTCTTTTTTTTTTTTTTTTTGAGACAGAGCCTCAAGCTATCCCCCTGGGTAGAGTGCTATGGCTTCACTGCTCACAGCAACCTCCAACGCCTGGGCTCAAGCGAGTCTCCTGCCTCCGCCTCCCAAGTAGCTGGGACCACAGGCGCCTGCCACAATGCCCGGCTACTTTTTTTTTTTTTTTTTTGGTTGCAGCCATTATTGTTGTTTGGTGGGCCCGGGCTGGATTCGAACCCGCCACCTTAGGTGTATGTGGCTGGTGCTCCAGCCACCTGAGCCACAGGCGCCGAGCCAACACCTGAGCTCTTGCCTTGGCCTCCCAATGTGCTAGGATTATAAGCCTGAGCCACCGGTGCTTGGATTGATTATACTAATTTGGAAATGAATAGCATTTTAAAAATTCAGCTGTTCGGGTGGAGGGCCGGACACTGGCTGAGTGCAGCAGAATAGAGCTGTGCTGGGGCTGAGCCAAGCACGCATGGGCTGTGCAGGGAGTGGCTGCTGAGCACGAGAGGGAGCATGAGAGGCCCCATGGGAGCGGCTGCCTGAATAGCGCTGCAGATGGGGTACAACAGCCCATCTTCACCACTTGTGTGCGCGTCTTCTAGATTGGCCCTATCACCGAGAAGAATTAGATGCCAGCAAGCAAGCAGGCCTTCACCGTTTCCTACTTCTGTGATGTTATAAAGAACAGCTATTGGATCATCAATGTGGATGGAGCCAAGGTGATGATCACCAGCACAGTCACACCAAGGGTGACGTTCACTAAAGCATCACAGAAGTTTGGACAGTGGGCCAACAGCAGGGCAACATGTTTGGCTTGGGGTTTTCCTCTGTGCAGCAACTGACATAGTTTGCAGAGAAATTCCAAGAAGTGAAAGAAGTAGCCAAATTAGCCAGGGACAAATCCCAGAAGAAATTGGAGACCTTGAGTGATCATTCAAGTGATCATTCCCAAGTGTCTAGTGTCAATGGGACAAATGATGAAAAGGTCTTTCACATGGGTCCGGCTGACACAGACCTCAGATTTGAGAGTGAGAAGATGGCATTGACACAGAGCACTTCTAAGGTGAAGAAGTGGGAGATCAGTGGCCAGTGCAGAGCCTTGGAAGAGGCAGTTCTACATCTGCAGCAATGACGACGACCGGCTCTGCCACAGGATGGACAAGCTTGAAGAGAAGTGCAGCAAGATCAGCACAGAGAAGGGGAGGAACACCCAGCTATCTTAAGAGGCAGATCGAGGAGCTGGCGGCAGAAATGCAAGTCAAGGACATGGAGTTGAGAGGTCTCCGAAAACAAAGTGAAATCATAGCTCATATCAGAGTGTGACTATGTCTCTGAGAAGTTAAGAGTCAGCAGAGAGAAATAATTAAAACCTGGAAGACAAAGTGTGCTGTCAGGACAGACATTGAGGAGAGGAAGAACTGAAAGCACCACCTGAAGGTGGAGAAGAAGAGCTTCCTGGAGGTTCTAGAGGACAAGGTTGACGACCTTCATGACTTAGGCCCAGGCCTTTCCAAGCTGGGCATTGACAGTTAGCATTGGGCCCACACTACACTTGTGAGTCCCTGGTGTGTGTGAGACGAACTTGGACCAGGACATTCTCTTGTTTGTCGCTTCTGTAAGTGCAGGTGCAGTCTGTCGTGTTTCCAAACCAGTTGTGCCTTTCACTTACTCCTCTCTAGGATAGAGATCTTTGACTTCTCCTGCCTTGTGAGTTTGCAGACAACTGGAAGATTCTGACTCAGGAATCCAGAGCTAAGTCTGCCTTAAACATTTAAGCAGTCAGGGCAAGGATGTTTATGCCTTTCTTAAGGGCTATTGCAACCATATGAACTAAAAAAAGTACATGTATTTTGTGATCCAAATATCAGTACTCTTTATTGTGATCCAAATATCAGTACTCTTTATAACAAGGCCGTTTGGCTCCTTTTATTGAACAATGTACTCTGGACATCCAGCACCAGTCCCTGGAGGCACCAAGAGAACAGTTTCCCTCTGAGTAAACTCTGAGATGCTTTAAAACAACCCTTTAGTAGAGACTTACCCAGAGAAAGGAAACAAGCTTCTGGTGGGCGTGTTTTCTGGCATGGTGACCACCTGCGTCCACTGCGTTCCCTGGTGTGTGCGACAGTGTTCCTTTTCTTGGTTTTAATTTCTGAGCAGATGATTGCGCTGTGGCAGCAATACTTGGTGAGGGGTGCCTGGCACAAAGTAGGTGTTTAATAAATATTTGTATAATTAAATATTTAAAAAATCAGTTATCTGCCTCTTTCAAGTTTATGGAATGACAACCAAGAAGATTACTTTCTTTTTTTTGAGATAGAGCCTCAAGCTGTCCCCCTGGGTAGAGTGCTCTGGCATCACAGCTCACAGTAACCTCCAACTCGTGGGCTCAAGCGAGTCTCCTGCCTCAGCCTCCCAAGTAACTGGGACCACAGGGGCCCGCCACAACGCCTGGCTATTTTTTTTTTGGTTGCAGTCATCGTTATTTGGCGGGCCTGGGCTGGATTCGAACCTGCCACCTTAGGTGTATGTGGCTGGCGCCTTAGCCACTTGAGCCACAGGCGCTGAGCCAAGAAGACTACTTTCTAAGGCCAGTGATAGATTCTAAAGATCAAATGGGCCAGGTGTGGTAGCTCACATGTATAATCCCAGCACTTCGGGAGGCCAAGGCAGGTGGATTGCCTGATCTGAAGAGTTCGAGACCAGCCTGAGCAAAAGGAAGACCCTGTCTCTACTAAGAATAGAAAAACTGAGACAAAAGGATCACTTGAGGCTGAGTTTGGAGGTTGCCATAGCTATGAAGCCACAGCACTCTACCCAGGATAACAGTTTGAGACTCTGTCTAAAAAAAAGACCATGTATAATTCTTAAACTTAGGCTCAGCGCCTGTAGCTCAAGTGCCTAAGGCACCAGCCACATACACTGGAGCTGGAGGGTTCAAATACAGCCCGGGCCTGCCAAACAATGACAACTGCAACCAAAAAATGGCCGGGTGTTGTGGCAGGCACCTGTGGTCCTGGCTACTTGGGAGCTGAGGCAGGAGAATTGCTTGGGCCTGGCTTAGGAGTTGGAGGTTGCTGTGAGCTGTGATGCTATGGTACTCTACCCAGGGCAACAGCTTGATGCTCTGTCTTAAAAAAAAAAAAAAAAAAATCCTAAACTTAATTCAATTAATTTTTGCCAAGCAAAATATAGTTCTTGATTTTCACAATATAATTTTTTTTTTTTTTTTTTAAAGAGACAAGAGTCTCACTTTGTCACCCTCGGTAGAGTGCTGTGACATCATAGCCTACAACAACCTCCAACTCCTGGGCTCAGGCAATTCTCTTGCCTCAGCCTCCTTAGTAGCCAGGACTACAGGCACCTGCTACAATACCAGCTATATTTTTTGTTGCAGTTTGGCTGCGGCCGGGTTCGAACCCACCACCCTTGGTATATGGGGCCAGTGCCCTAAGCGCTGAGCCACAGGCACCACCCTTCACAATATAAAATTAACCAACAGCTCATTGTATATCTGATATACAAATAATTGTAATCTGCTTTTATTTTTTAATTTTTAAGATTTATTTATTTATTTTTTGAGACAGAGTCTTACTCTGTCACTCTGGGTAGAGTGCCCAGGCATCATCTTAGCATGTAGCAACCTCAAACTCTAGGGTTTGAGCAGTTCTTGTGCCTCAGCCTCCTGGGTACCTGGGACCACAGGTGCCTGCCAAGATGCCTGACTAGTTTTTTTTTTCTATTTTTAGCAGAGACAGGGTCTTGGTCTTGCTCAGGCTGGTCCTGAGCTCTGGCAATGCACCCAACTCTGCCTCTTAGAGTGGTAGGATTATAGGTGTGAGCCACTGTGACCAATTGGTAATACACTTTTTTTTGAGATAGAACCTCACTTTGTCACCCTCTGTAGAGTGCTGTGGTATCCCAGCTCACAGTAGCCTCAAACTCTTGGGCTCAAGTGATCCTCTTGTCAACCTCCCAAATAGCCTGGACTATAGGTGCCCACCACAACGTCCAACTATTTTTAGAAATGAGGTTGCTTTGTCTCAGGTTGGTCTTACTTGTGGGCTCAGGCAGTCCACCTGCCTTGGCCTACCAGAGTGCTAGCATTACAGGCATGAGCCACTGCGCTCAGCCTAAATTTGATGGTTTACTTAGTCTTGAAGTTTCATAGACTATCAGTTAGTTGAGGATTATTTTTACTATATTAGTATTGTATTCTCCTTCTTCTGTGTTTCTTCTCTCTCCTTTCAGGGTTAGGCTGGCAGCTACAAAAGAAAATAAATAGGGTTGTTCTTTCTTCAAGAGTTTCCTTTCTGATATCAGCTGTGCAGTAGAACTGACTAGGAACGTAATTATTCAGTAATTCTGGTGTTCCTACTGAATTTTATTTTCAAGCTGGTAATACAGGTAAAAGGTCTTACATGTACTACTTTGATCTTGTTCAGTTCCTTCCACAGCTGCTAGTGCCAGTTGATATTAAGTGGGGAAGACTATTGATTTGTTTATCTCAGGATAATGTTTTTTTGTGTTATAATGCCAATAAATAATAAAGTATACTTTGAGACTGGGATGGGCAATACACAATTAATTTTGTTGGTTTAATATTAATAGATATTTTTTTTTTT